GGCCAACCTAGCTGAGCTTCGGATTCCAGAGTTGAAACCGATGGGTCCTGAAAATCCCTAAAGCCCTAAACCCCAAACCCAGAATCCTAAACCCTAGGCCCTAACTAAACCCTGAACCCTAAACCCTAAACCCTAAACCCTAAACTACTAAACTGAAGGTACCTTCTCCAATATGACGGCGTGGTAGAGTGCCACTGCGAGGCAGCGTTGCTGTTGGGTGTCGGAGATCTGGGGATATCAGGTTTAGGGTTTAGGGTTTAGGGTCTTTTTTGGAGTACCCTGAATAGAAGGATCTGCATCGTAGCACGCACCCCCAAAACGGGGCCACAATGATTGTGAACAACCCCCCATGCATGGTGCACGCTTGCTTACGGTTTCATGTTTCGGCGGTGTGTCGAAAGCTCAGAAGCTTATGTTGCCGAGGTTTGAGCATTATGCTACAGAAGCCCTAAACCCTAAATTGGTTTAAGGATCTCGGCTCCAAGAAACCGGCCCAAAACCCAAGGCGCTTTCGCAGAGAAGGGTCAAAGTTTTCAGGGCTCAGGGCCCGTTTCTAAACTTGCGGTTTAGGGTTTCAGCTTTAGGTTGGGATTATTCCCTTTATGACTGACAGTCCTCAATAAGGATTATAATAGGAGGTAGTAGAATCCCTACTAAGGACTGTTAGAATAAGGGGTAGCATCCCAAGGCTTAGGGTTCAAGGTTTTGGGGTCTAGGCGGTTTGGGGTTCCAGGGTTGAGGGTATAGGGTATAGGGTTTAGGGTGTAGGGTTTGGGGATTAGGGTTTAGGGTTTAGGGTTCAGGGTGGATCATTCCTTATGGTTTAGCTGCGGCTCTATAGTTTTGCAGCTTGCGAAGAAGCTCCACTATCCTGTCTCCTTAGTGACTAACCCCTGAGCTCTCTGCGCTCTAACCTCTGAACCCGAAACCCCAAACCCTAAACCCTAAACCTCAAACCCTAAACCCTAAACCCTAAACCCTAGACCCTAAACCCTAAACCAGGGACAGAAGATGAAAGAGCCACCGAAGCAGCCACTTGCCTTCAGTTGATTCTAGTCGTGCCCTTTCCTTGCATGGAGCTCGCTGAGGGTTTTTAACGCCCAATGCCTGAGATGGCGTGTAGAGACTATAACCCTGTAGACTCAAACCCTACAAGGCCTTTTAAGCCTTATAAAGAATCTTGAACCCACGTCCTGTTAAAACAGAGAAGGACAAAAGACCAACAAAAAACCTAAAAGACCTGCAAAACAACTATGAAACCTACAGGCCCCAACCATTCATGCCCAACAAGAGAATCACCCTAAAATTTACATCCTAAAACCTAAACCCCTAAACCCTAAACCCCTTGTATGTGTTTTTCTTGATCCAGGACTTGGGGTCAGCAGAGGGGGATGGGGGGTGGGGGGGGGGGGGGGGGGGGGACGCTCTTTCCACTCTGCTTGTGTGGGGCCTCTATGGCTTGAGTGTATTTTTGTTTTTTTTAGGGGGGGGGGGGGTTAGGGTTTAGGGTTTAGGGTTTAGGGTTTAGGGTTTAGGGTTTAGGGTTTAGGGTTGAGGGTTGAGGGTTGAGGGTTGAGGGTTGAGGGTTGAGGGTTGAGGGTGATGGTTTAGGGCTTCGGAGCTGCAGCCTCTCGGGGATGTGTATAGGTCCTTTTGTAGTGCACGCAGGCCATACGCGTCAGTATCCCTCGATAATTTCTATAATCCTTACAGGTTAGTTAAGCTTCAGTTCCACTAGACACTCACTAGGACACTGGACAGGTAAGTGTTGCTTTCACCGGCTTAGGGTTCCAATAGAAGCCGGCAAACCAAAACACAAAACTCACAGGGCCGCACCTCTCAACTCTGCATGCAGTGGCTTTCTGGAGCCACCCATGGACCACCTCCCGGATTTTGAAAGTCGCAGCTTTTCGACATTATGCCCCACCTCCCAACTTACTCTCACCTCTGTTTTAAGGACTCCCAACAAGGGAGGGAGCCCCTAACTTTCCGAACCCCCCACCCCTCCCCCCGAACAAGCCTCCGAAGATGAGAAGTTGATCTTGCAGCAAATCCTGCCGGCTGAGCCCAAAGCCCTAAACCTCTCCGAGGCTGCTGGTGCTGGAAAACCCCGGAGCCCGGGCCTCACAGCGACTTGGGGAAGTCGGAAAACCCTAAACTCTAAACCCTAAACCCTAGGCCCTAATAAGCCCTAAACCCTAAACCGTCGGGCTTGGAGTTCGGATGTACGGTTCGTCATGCTTTTTGCTTTAGGGTTGCATTCGGGTTCATGGGTTCGGGGGTTCAGGCTTTACAGGGTTCAGGTGTTTTATAGGTCTTCTCCGAAGCTTATTGGTAGGGTTATAGGGCTCAGAGGGCTTGGAGGGTTTGTAGGGGCTTTGCAGGGCTGATCGGGCTGCGGAATGTTAATGGTTTATTGCAAGACGAGGATTGCAGTGGCCGCTCGCAGCTGAGGGTTTAGGGTTTAGGGTTTAGGGTTTAGGGGTAAGGTTTAGGGTTTAGTGTTTGGGGTTTGGGGTTTAGGGTTTACACAGGGCTGGCAGGGTTGTGTCCTTTTGTTTGTTGGGCTGGGATCCCTTGTGGGCCCTCTTCAAAACTGACAGGGGCGCACTTTTCCTTACCGGGCTACTGCGCCAGATTTCAACTTCGACGGTTTTGCGCACGCCTGCGTGTGTGAAGGATTCCACATACGGCTGACGGTGACGGCTGACGGTGACGGCGAGCGACTAAACCCTAAACCCTAAACCCTAAACCCTAAACCCTAAACCCTAAACCCTAAACCCTAAACCCTAAACCCTAAACCCTAAACCCTAAACCCTAACCCCAATCTCAAACCCCAAACCCCAAACCCCAAACCCCAAACCCCAAACCCCAAACCCCAAACCCCAAACCCCAAACCCCAAACCCCAAACCCCAAACCCCAAACCCCAAACCCCAAACCCCAAACCCCCCAAACCCCAAACCCCCCCAAACCCCAAACCCCCAACCCCAAACCCCAACCCAACCCACAACCCCCCAAACCCCAAACCCCAAACCCCCAACCCCAAACAACCCCCAAACCCCAAACCCCAAACCCCAAACCCCAAACCCCAAACCCCAAACCCCAAACCCCAAACCCCAAAACCCCAACCCCCAAACCCCAAACCCCACCCTAAACCCTAAACCCTAAACCCTACACCGAATTCAAGCTCTGCAACTAAAACTACAGCGGCGCATCCTCACCTGTGGAGAGTGGGAGAATGCACGCAGGCTCAACACTCAAGACTCAAGACTCCAAGGCCTCAAGCCCTACCATCCTAAACCTTAAGCCTGAAACCCTAAACCCTACAAAGAACCGAAGGCCCCAAAAGTCCAACATCCCTTGCATGGCCATCAACCCCTAAGCTGCAGAAGCTTCTTCTCAGCCTGCGCCAGGTCAGAGACATTCCCGGCAGCACCTATCGTCGGTCCTTCCGCCTTCATGAAGTTGAGGGGCCAGCAGGTCTTACTTTAGAGTTTAGGGTTTAGGGTTTAGGGTTTAGGGTTTAGGGTTTAGGGTTTAGGGTTTAGGGTTTAGGGCTAGCTGGTGAAACTGACAAGGGACCATCAGCATTTAGAAACCAAGGGCTTCCAGAGACACTGAGGTTTGGGGGGAAGAGTAATGGCTTGGCAGCTCTGACAATCCAGTGCGCCTCGGAACCACAATTCCAGGGGTCGATTCCGAATTCTGGAGCCACTCCACGTACTTGTTCGGGAATTAGGGACCTTAGAGAATCCCGTACTAAAAGGGCTTATTTAGAAGTACCTAATTTCGAAGAACCATAGGCCCTGGTGCCTGTAGGAGTACCAGGAGGTCTTTGTTTGAAAGGTTGCGCAAGCAGAGAACCCGAAGCCCTGAACTTTCCTTGTCGTTCGCTCACAACGGCATCGGGTCTGCTTTCCCCTCCCTCCAGTGTTTGTTTCCGTGCGTATACAGAGTTGTCCAACTTCTGGTGATCCCCTCCGCGTGGCTCGAACTGGGTTGAACGAGGCACATGCCACTTCTGGCCTTAACAGCCCCTAACCTATAGACAACCCATGAACTCCCACAGCCGCCGACTGGCCAGCCCACCAACAGCACCACCACCAACACAGCCACCATGACTACCGCGCCCACCATCCAACTGCAAACCCATTACTGAAGGCATCCCTGGCTACTAGACCTGCATATCGGTGCTCACGCCTCCGCGGGGTCTTGGCACCCCAAACCCAAAACCTCTCAACCCAAAAGGCCGGGAGCATCCCGGACAAGGACCCTGACTTGTGGACCCCCTTCCTACTCGCTTGCTTGGAAGCCCCGAAAAAGCACGCCCGCGCGCCTTTCAGCCAAGAGGGCTGAAAGGAGAGACTCTGCTTGCAGCCATGCCTCGGCGGGGTCTCATGAGCACGCAGGCGGGCTGCGGGGCCTAAGGCTTAGGGAAAGTTTAGGTTTAGGGTTTCGGAAAGTTGCCGGGGGTTAGGGACTTCGGGGTGCAGGGTTTAGAGTTTAGCGGCGTGCCTCGAGTTGACTACTAAAAAATTTTTCCTCAAAAGGGACGATGATTCAGAGATTCTATCATGCGGGGTTCACTCTGATTTCGAGTCCGAGGGCTTCGGCCCAGGCAAGCTTCATGGGTCATGGGCTTCAGATGATTCTTGGGAAGCTACTACGTATACCCGTGGTGTGTTTTCTTCTGTTTCGCCCCTATAAGGTTTTAAGAGTTTCTCGTTGACAATATTTGAGTGGGCTTCATGAGGTAACCGGGCCGAGTCTAGCTTGTTTTTGTCGTTGATACCTTGTCTGATCTAGGGTTGGGAAAGCCGATTTGTAGTGTGGCGTTTCGGGGGTTGGGAGCGTTGCAAACTGGGTTCTTTGGCAGCAGGGAGGCAAGTGAGGCAGGTGACCGCGTCATGAAGAGCACAACATCACAAATGGATGTCGGCAAAACCCGCAATGCCTGCCTTGATGTACAAGTACTCGAACAGTTGCCGTTTCGTGTTGGATGATGCACAGAAGTCTCTTCGCCACGAGCGTCAGAACCAACTTGGACAATGTGAAGCAGTCACATTGTTCCCTGGTGCCAAGAATTTGCTTACGCCTGCTGCGTGAAGGAGCTCTACTAGGTTTCTGCTTCGATGCTAGAAAGCAGAAGCTCTGTGGCTACTCGTTGCATGCACGGTCCTTTCGCGCATACTGCGGGGAAGACGGCAAGAAACAAGGAGCCCGTGGAAGTGCCGCAGCCCTGAAGGAGCAGATTGCGCAATTGAGGAAGGATCTTCATGCAACTCCTTGGAAGACGCTGTCCCGTGTGCTAGTTGAGAACGATGTGTTGCAGCTGCCATGGAAAGGACCTGATTGGAAAACCCTGCCAGAACCGTCTCCAGAAGAAATGTCCTACATGGCTGGCTTCTTTGACGGTGATGGGTGCGTCACGGAAAAGTCCAACCTCAGTGGCTGTCGCCTGGCAGTTAGCCAGGCCTTTGATGCAAGTGCTGTGCTTGTGAGATATGCCAACCTGTTTGGCGGCACGGTGGAGGTACGGTCCCAGGGAGTCGGGCTCCAGAAGCCAGTGCTCAATTGGCGGCTTGAAGGCCCCGGTTGCAAACATGTATCAAACTTGTTGGCCACGGCGTCCGTGGTGAAACATAAACAACTGGCGTTAGCTGCAAAATGGCCAAAAGATACAGATGGCAGAAAGCTGGCGAAGCACAAGCTGAGAGGTTGGAAGCATGGCAGTACAGACACTCAGACTCATGGTTGTGTCAGCTGGAGCTACTTTGCTGGTTTCTTTGACGCAGAAGGTTGCATCAAGATTACCACTACGGGAAACCTTATGTTAACGATTTGTCAGAAGCGGGAAGCAATATTGAACGTCATCAAGGTTTTTTTGGCAGATCAGAGCATCCATTCAGAACTGTACAATTGTCGGACACATGGATGCTTGAGCATCCACCGTCGCGGTGACTGCGAGGCTGTTCTGCAACGCATGCAACATGCCGGATTGCTGGTAAAGGCGCAGCATGCCGAGATTGCTTTGAACACAGAGAAGACAGGACCTTCGCGTGCCCGGGAGCAGCTGGGATTGCTGGTGGGCAACCAGAGCTTCGGCAAAAGGCTAGACGAAGCAGGTTGCTTGCGCGCTCAGGAAATCCGCAGAATGCGACAACAAGTTTGGTATTTGAAGTCTAGAGGGCAGGAGGACGCTGCGGCAGCTCGACTTCTGGCAGCGCAAGAACTGGTGGCAAAGCACGACCTTCTGAAATTAAAGGCAGAGCGGGACATGTTGCTTCGCCACGCCGCTTTCATCCAACGACTGTCCGGAAGCATGTGGGAGTGAAAGGTCCTCTGCAGGAACCTGATCAGCTCAACTTTAGGTGCCGCATGTGCCCGAAGCAGGCGACGTTTACCATGAGCTAGCCTGTGCATAGAGCGCGGGTATATTACAGACGGTGAGAGGGCTCAGAGGCTTAGTCGAGGATTTGTACTTCAAGTTCAGGCAACAGTAACGGTCATGCATTTGGCATTCTAAGGCATTTTGGCTTCCAGTAGCTGACATCATGCATCTCATCATACGCTCAAGGCCATTTTCCAGCTACTTGCTGGATGTAGGTGCTCACTGCAAAGCTTCTCTGCATATCGAAAGTTGTCCTGCCGGTCCTACCGACTACGGCTTTTCCACCTTGGCAGGACTTCGACCTCTTCACAGATGATGAGGCTCCACATGGGAAGATGGGACTTTTGGAACAGGACGGAGCAGTGATTTGAGCCAGGTTCTGGGTGTTTTTGCCCTTGCTCTCCTGGGTTTGGTAGCATGGTAAAAGTGCTGCTGCTTGGTAGCTTCAGTTGCTTGTATGTTCCCGGGTCTTAGAAGAGTTGGGTCAGTGCAAGCATCGAAGTTTGCGGCTCAGGGTTTCCAGCTTCGGGTTTCAGGAGAGAATCACTTGGGCTTCGGGGCCTCGTAGAAGGAAGCGGTTTCCGGGCTCATGGATTCCAAAAGCTGGCTCCCTTTAGATATCTTAAGCTTGAAACGCCTGCACCCCAAACCCAAAACCCCAAAAAACAACTTTAGGACGCAGCAGCCATGATCCTTATGCAACATACCCAAAAAGCGTGTCTAAGTAAGACATAAACCCTGCACCCTAAACCCTATTTTCCGGATTTGGGGTACAGTAGGGCTTACTCTGCCAGGGCGTAGTCGCACCGCGAGGGGCGCAGGTCAGCGCTGCTTTGGCTTGTGCTTCTAGCGGCTTCAGTTTTTTTTCTTCAGGGTTTCAAGGTTTAGGGTTTAGGGTGTCGGGTTTAGGGTTTAGGGTTTAGGGTTCAGGGCGTTTAGAGTTTTAAGTTTTGATGCTGCTCAGGGTCGTAGCATCTTTAGGGCTCAGGGCTTCGGATGCTTTCGGAGTTTAAGTCATCATTGGTGACGATTGTGTTCAGGCTTCTGGGGCCTTGGGTTCTCTGAGGTTTAGGAATTGCTGGGGCGGCCAGTTGTGGCGTTTTACCCCGAGGCCCTAGTCTGGGTTTGGACTCCGTTTCTTTGCTTAATTCAAAAACGGATACCCTCTGATTTAGGCTCCAGCGTGCTGAGGTTTCGCTGTGTTGATTGATTTCTTGCGAAGGCAGGACTTCGGATTTCGAGGGATCGTTGGTATTTAGAATGCTAGGTTCACAACTTGGCCCAGGAAGACACGCTTATGTAGCCCCTCAACCCCTAAACCCTAAACCCGTCAACCCCAAGCCCGAAGAATCCTTAAACTCCAGCCGCCGACCCGATGACGCGAGAGGCCTCTGCGGAAGACGAAGCTGATGCAGGCACTGCCTTTTTTTTTGGGGGGGGGGGGGGGGGGGGGGGGGTTAGAGTTTAGAGGTTTAGGGTTTTGGGTTTTGCGTGTGGGGGGGGGGGGGGGTTGAAGGGTGTCTTCTGCAGTGGGGCTGAGGGGGTTTGGGGTGCTAATGGTTCAGGGCTTAAGGGGTTTGGGGTTCATAGGGTTTAGGCTTCGTGGTGCACCCGGATGGATTCACACCACAGCTTCTCTGCATTTCCCGGAAAAGGATGTTCGAAATCTTCAGGGCACCTGCAATAAGGCCCACGTGTACCATTGTGGAATAAGGTACCCCGAAGCAGATCCCTGTATGGGGGCTTCCGAACCTTCAAGGGGGACTCTATTCTGTTTGGGGTATAACAGGGGTACCCCCGATTTTGGGGAAATGCCCATACAGTATGCAGACATTGGTACTGCAAGCTTGAGTTCCCAAACAGCAACCCAGATCAGGATGTCTTCAAAGAGTGCTTCAACCCTCCTTGGCAGGACCTTGGAGATGTTGTCATATTCCCCCATTTGGCTTGAGAGGATCTATGCCAGAAAAGTTTGCGGAGGGAAACAAACGGCCAACCTAGACATGCTGCACTGCGCACCCTAGGCCTGAAACCTCGAAAAGCTACCCTCAAGCGAAAACATTAAAAAGCAAACCACCGAATAGCCCGTTCTCACGCGAGGCCCCGTGACGGAAGAAGCAGAGCCGCTGATGGCCCGCGGCTCACAATGGCATCAGCAAGTCTGGTGAAACTCTACAGCCTAACGCGCTATTCTGGGTTTCGGAGTACTATACTTTAATACCCTAAACCCTAAACCCTAAACCCTAAACCCTAAACCCTAAACCCTTTGTTTGGTTCTGGGTTCCCCATTTTTTGCTACTTCCACCTAAAGAGCAACATATTGTTCCAGGGGTCTACTCCAAGAGGTAGGGCAAGGCTCTTTCTCCACACCCGACAGCAATGAAGTCTATAGGCCTTTAAACCCTAGGTAGGCCTTGTGAATGCCTTCTCATTTCCCCACGGGTTTCAAGAAGATCCTGTTTAGGAATGTCTGTCTCAGAGGCCTGGGGACAGCAGGGCAAGACCAGATCAGCTTAAAGGGTTTCGTGGGTAGAGTTAGGGTTTGGGGTTTTGGGGTTTTGTCTCTTGTCTCTTGTGAAGCTGTGCATGGGCTTGTTCCCACGGAGCTCGAGTCCTCTTAATCAAGGCTTCCAAATAACCCCAAGCCCTAAACCCTAAACCCAATTGCGAAATTGCGAATATTTTTTAGTTTTTTAAATTCTTAGTTTTTGGAACGATTTGCCCTAAACCTTATACAGGGGTAGAGAGTATGACTGAAGGAACATTCCTAAATGCAGTGGCCTTGGCTCTCGGGGCTTCCGGTCGTGACAAGAGATCTCTTCCCTCGGCTCTCGACCCGTGTGCGACCTTCAATGCGTCTTCCAACGAAGTGTTTGAGGCTTAGGGTTTACAGGGTTTAGGGTTTAGGGTTGAGCCTTATACCCAAAGCAATACCAAAACCCTACCACGAACCCTATAAACCCTTGAACCCGTCACTTCTAGGACATCTAAACCACAAACAAGGCCCGCTCATTGTGCCCCGCCTGAGATCCGGCTACAAGCCACGGTCGGAGCCTCGACCAGCGTTCACGTCGTCGAGGCGGGGCGGGGGAGGGGCAGGGGAGGGGGGGTTTAGGGTTTAGGGTTTAGGGTTTAGGGTTTAGGGTTTAGGGTTTAGGGTTTAGGGGGGCAGAGCCGAACCCTGCTTCGGCAGGGTTTAGGGCAGTTTTAGGGTTCAAGGTTTAGGGAGGGGTTTAAGCCGGCTTCTGAGAAGTATCCGGGCGATGAGACATGACACCGCCCCGTAGGCACCCTAAAACCCAAACACGTATCAAGATTCAACTGCCAGTCGCCGTCCCAGAGCCGTAAGTCAATAGAGTTCTTGGCTGATCCCTAAACCTTGAACCCTGAAACCTATGTGTCCTAAACCCTAAACCCTAAACCCTAAACCCTAAACCCTAAACCCTAAACCCTAAACCCTAAACCCTAAACCCTAAACCCTAAACCCTCAACCCTAAACCCTAAACCCTAAACCCTAAACCCCGATTCCATGGTCAATGGTCAGCAGCGTTGACAGCATGCACTCCAGGGGCTCCCGTAATAACGGGTAGCCCCTTGAAGCCCCGAAAGATCAGGTATAGGGTTTAGGGTTTAGGGTTTAGGGTTTAGGGTTTAGGGTTTAGGGTTTAGGGTTTAGGGTTTAGGTATAGGGTTGTTCTGGTTCTTCAAATTAAGTCTTGGGACGTTCCCCTTATACTTATGCTAACAGTCCTTCATGGGGATGCTAATAGGGGTTATACTATATTCCCCATTCAGGACGAACTAAGGGAGGAACATCCCGATGTGTCTCGGAGTCTGTGCCACCTTGAATCCAGGCGGGTTTTGCGCTGCGCGCCGTTTAAGAAGCGGCGGCCAAGCCACCTGCTGAACCCCAAGCACCAAATGCCCCAACTACCGAAACACCGTCCACCCAAGACCCTGAACCCTATAAGAAACCCCAAAAGCCCCTCACCCCTGCCCCTAAATCCTGAGCCCTAAAAAGCCGCCTCTCCCCCCTTCCCCTAAACCCTGAACCCTAAAGCCCTAAACCACAGAACATGAAGAGAGAACTCCTCACGTGACCAGGAGCTCACCACAGCCTCTCGGGTGTCGGATCTGCAAGGCCTGACGGGCCATTCTTTCATCGGACTTTTTAGTCTGAGACTTCAGAGCGTTTAGGACTTTCTGGGGGTTGCGGGTGGAGGGTTTAGGGTTAATGGCCGTATTTGGGTTTAGGGTTTATGGGGTCGTTATGGGCTTCTTAGGGTTTGAAAGTTTAGGGATTTTTGGATGTTTTAGGGTTTCGGATTTAAGGATAGGGTTTCAGGGTTTAGGGTTTTAATTAGGGTTTAGGGTTATAGGGTCTTCAAGAAGTCTTGTGGGCTCCGTACAGGTTATTTCCTTTTTGGTGGGCTCCTGGTGCCCCTAACAAACATTCAACCCACAACGGGACACGTTTTTTGTTCCGAGCTTGCTGGGCAGTCTCGTCTTTCATAGGATCCCCAAAGGCCCCCCCCCCCCCGCCATACACACCCTAAACCCTAAAGCCTAAACCCTAAACCCTAAACCCTAAACCCTAAACCCTAAACCAGAAAAGCGGTCCCTAAACCTTTTAGCCTTTACCCCGACTATTAAACCTTCTCTGGCCCTGCGACTTGGGTGCTTTCGGGGATTTCCGGGCGTTGAGGGGCTCTGGGTACTTCAGAGGATCAAGGGCTTAGGGGTTTAGGAATTTCGGATTTGTTTTTCTGTCTGGGGGCCCTGCAAGCTTGCCAACAGTCCTTACTTTATCTTACTTCGGATCCTTCGGGTAAGAGCTACAGGTACCTACCACTTCTCGCATCATTTGTTTTGGACCAGCTTCTTTTCAAACGGCCTGAGGTGCCTGAGGGGCCTACAAGGCTTAGGGCTTAGGGTTTGGGGTT